ATTAGGGATGCCCAATATTGTTTTTTTGGCCGATATGTCGATAAGTTAAAACTTATTCAGCCAATAACCGATAGCAATATTTAATATACGTTCCTTTGTCAGAACATAGCCTCTTATTTAGGATTATTTGCAACAAAAATTGTGCAACAGCTGTAAGAGCTGGTGACATATATTCAGTAACAGCCATATGATATGCATAGCACTTTAACTTATATTAAATGAAAAGTGTTAAATGTTATTTATTAGCATTAGTCACCTGTGATGCTGTCTCACTTGTGGAGGATTGTTCCAGGTTCCTAGATGCAGTGTGGGATCCTCTACACTCCTGTGCATCAAGGACAGACTTTTAAGTTCAAAGTTTTGTCCATCCATTGTGCCGTAAGACTAATCAAGGTAACGGGGCTAACACTTGACGTCCAAGTGTCGGTGGTAAAACTCATCCAAGTGCTATCAGCTATCAGCTATTAGCTTCTCAGTGACGTCAGAAATGACGGCTTGTAACTCGGGTAACGTTACGTCGGAAAAATATCTCTGACTGGGGACGATGTAGCGAGGCTCAACGTACTCCATAAATCTTCAGAATTCAATATCCTCACCACAACAAAAAAATAAAACTTCTACACCGCAGACGTTTTGAATTTTCCTCTCCGCCATGAGATCGGGTAGGCGCACGTGACGTCATCACGCTGTGCAGCCGCTGCAGGCAAAAAACAGCACCTTTTATATCGCTGAGTTATTTTGATGGAATAGTCGATGTCCGATATTAAACTTTAACGCTAATATCGGCCGATGCCATGCTGATAATATCGTGCATCCCTAATATTTCTATATTCTTTCTAAAGTGTGATTTTTTTCTCAGAGTTACATACACGTCTACTCCAGTGGACTGCATGCATATATGAGCACGTTATAATGTGCTGTCTATATTATTGTGGAGTTCATCAAGTCTTTGCTGTATGCATGTTGACATTGTTTTATTTGAGATTTTTTTATTTTAAATAAGTGGTAAATTGACACATGGTAAGGTCATATATATTCTGACATCAGTCATGTAATGGCAGCACCATTCTTTCTTTGTGGCTGTTTTACAGTGTATTTTTACTATATTTTGTAGAGTATTGCACTCTGCACTGATCTTACATTGAGGAGCCTATCAATGTTTCCTGGCTGTGAAGTACATTTAAGAATGCATAATTATCCACAAAGTGTAGATAACTCATAATTTGATCATTTGTTTACAGACATGGTGTTCGTAATAAATCTAAGATGAAGGCCACCCTCATTAGACCAGTACATTCTTGCTCTAGGGCAGACCTGGGCATTGTACGGCCCCAGGGCCACATGCGGCCCTTTGGTTGACTCTGACCGGCCCCCGTAAGGGGAATTACAAAATACATATGTAAACAAATGAAGTTAACCAAATCCAGATATAGATCCTCTCTCAATGATGATGTCAGCTTTGCTTCACATCTCCACCTCAGACCTTCAACTTGACTTTAACATTTCCTTTAAAGCCCAACAGAGACTAGACTTCTCTCACTAAACAAGAAAAAAGAACTGAAAAACACCAAATGAGATGTTTAGACTACAAATGTAGGCACGTAAAGAACCGGGACTCAAAATCACAGTTCAGTGACGATCACTATTATATGATGTTTCATAATATTTGGAGTACAAAGACAATATTGTGATATATTTAGAAAGATAAGAACTTTTTCCAGCAGTATATAAAACTCAAAATGAGTTTTGGGGTGAATGTGACTGAAAATGATCACTAATATAACGTCACAAATGGTAAAAATTTTAACAGTTTACCATTGTACTGTGAAATTTAATTGAATAAATGACATTTTTTGTAAGGAAACCTCGCTTTTTCGTTGCTTAATCATAACAAATACTCTTACCAGCTTGTTAAAACAGTGCTATGTACTGCGTTTAATAATGAAATACTATTATTATGCAGTATTGAGTTAAGTTGAAATCAGGTCTCTCTTGTAAATGAGTCCTCGAGGCTCAATTACCTGTCTAAATAAAGGTTGAATGAAAAAGTCATTTGTGCCAGCCCTCCACAATATTTGCTGTTTCTCATGTGGCCCCATGGAAAAAATAATTGCCCACCCTTGCTCTAGGGTAACAAATGCACCATAGGATCATGTTGATCCCTATAAAATCCTGCGTTTCTTCTCTTGTCATGCCAGAGCTTTTCTTCCTTGCTAGTATACAAGATGTTGTTGTGCACCACGCTGTCAATTACATCATTGGGAAACAAATGGCCAAATAAATCTATTAGATCTATCCCCTCAATATTCAATTTCTAGTATCAAAGAAAAGGGAGCAAATCTCCATCAAAGTGGTTATCTTACACTGTCCAGACTTTTTTGCGAGCTTGACCACAGCCAGGAACCATGTCTTCCACAGCTCCTTCATCAAGCTGGCCTCCCTTTGCATCCTGGCCTTCATCAACCTGACTGTTGCCCTGACTGTCTTCATCCTGACTCAGCCTTCATCATCTTCAGACTCTTTGTCTCTGCTGTTCTGTGGCAGCCATTCTTCATCACTTCTGTCACTCGTCACTGGAGTCAGAGGGAATTTCCTTGACGATTTTAAAGGTTTCCCTATTTTTAACTGCACTTGCTTTTTGTTTTTCACACAAACTGCAAGTAATCTGCACAGGATTATCTGTTTTCAATGACTATTTTACACAATGTAGTAAAAATACACAGACTTACAACCAAAACAAACACAAGACATGCTATGACAAAATGATGTTAATGGTACAAATTTGAATAAATATGCACCACTACCTATTTTTCCATCCAAACTCTACAAAATATAACAAAAATCTGCTGATTTATGACCAAAGCAGTCAGAAGAACAGATTAACCAATTACATTGCTTGAGTTAGAAGCATATCTAAAGATGCATGAAGTCCATGTTTAGGTGCAATTTACAAAGCAATACTTATTTAAAATTAAAAAAAAGAAAAAGAGGAAAAGATAAAAATGTGGATGTTCATCATCTTTATATAGTTTGGATGAAAAAATAGGTAATGGTGCATATTTATTCAAATTTGTACCATTAACATCATTTTGTCATA